GTGTATGGTTTGTTCTTTGGTTTTTCTGTCCGTTTCAAATCAAAACAAGAAAAATAATAATTATCAGATGATTTTTTACAACTAAAAACAAAATACATTTAGAACAACTTTGAAAAATCTACAATAAAACTCAAAACAAAACTAAAAGACTCAACTTTTTTTCATTTTAATGGTTAAAGCAAAGACGAGCTTTGTCATATTAGCACACCATTTGGGACTGTCTGGTAGAACCGGAAATCACGGCATGAACTCCCAGAGGGTTACCTTTTGACCTCACCAAGAATATGTTTGTCTTAGTTAGAGRTAGTCAACATGTTTCATTGAGAGCTAATTATCTTACTGTGAACAAAATTGCTTTAATATTCTAAGTAATGCAGAATAGGGCCATTGCCAATATCTTTAGGAATCCATCCATCAAGTCTTCTTTGGTCACTTCCATTGTTTCTGATGTTGGTACAACAAATGTACTGTATATTTATTTTGGATATAGAAAGCTGAAGAAAAAAATCAAACACTGAATTTTTTTAATAAGTTAGATTTAAAATTTTTAGGTTGTGAAAATGAAAATAACAAAAAAAACACGACTGTTTCCTTTTTTCAGTTTTGTTTTGAAATGGAAAAACCAAAGAACGCCATGCACAGATTGGGGGTGGGGGGAGTCACTGAATTTCTGATTCATAAATGAATTGGGGATTAATAAAGTTAACATTATTGTAAGTATTGTTTGAAAAGACGAGCTCCATCTGTGAGTATTTATTAGTAGGTGGAGCTCTGCTTTCTGTCCCTGAAATGAAAAGCATGTGTCTGCTGTGCTCCCACTGGGATGCGTAATCTCTAAACTTATTGCATGTCAAGCCAGAATAAATAAAAAAGGTTTCGGCAATAGATCACTACCAACCTGTATATCTTAGTGGCTAAAAAAACCTGTTTGTGTCAGTGAGATTTTGTTCATCAAGTCTTTAACAGTTGCTTTTTATTAATCATTTTATTCCCATTGAGATGCTTTGTTGACGATGGGCCTAACCTCGGTTTGTTTTGGTCCGATGCTTTTTAAATCCCCTGCGCGCATGTGTGTGCATGCCAATGTGTGTTTTCTCTGACTAGACAGCCATCTCTGAGTAAAGCCTTATGTCCGTTCGTCCGTCCGTGCATGTGTGTGTGTGTGTGGCATCCTCACCCACACTCACAGGGACCCATTCATCTGTGGCCTGGCACCCAGAAAGGGAGTCCGTTTAAGAAAGACAGAGACTGAGGGTTACTGTTCGGACTCCTGCTCAGTGACTCAATGCTAGCTGTCTGCCTGGCACAGATTAGATCAACACTGATGAATATGCATCAGTTGGCCGTCACCATCAGAATGGCCTATATTTTGACCAAGCCAGGAGATGGGTTATGGTCCAACAAGCCACTTCKTACAAGAGGTTACTTTATGTCCTCYGACGTTGAATCTACAAAACTAAGATTAACTAGTTGTCTGAATTAACTCCTTTTTTTGAGTTCAACCTAAACTTGCTTTATTTTAAAACCCATTCTGTTATGGTTTGCGTTCAAGCGAGGGTTATTTTCAGTCGAGCGAGGTCTTTTCTGTTTGGAGTACGGCTTCCTCCCTCTTTCTCAAACACGTCTTCCACACAAAGGCAGGAACTGTGCAGATCTAAACTACAGCCTGCAGGAAATAATGTGCTGGATTTAAGAGTTTGGTGAATACTTGGAGTTAAAGGACATTCTTGAAAGTGTCCTCAACAAAGACCAAAACCTTGGCTCGAATGAGATACCAATGGAGCCTGATAAGATTGGATAAACAGTTGTGATATTCACCCCTTGAGATTTGTGTCGTATAGAGTGGAAAATGGTKCACTCTTGGTGAAAACGGGGTGTGAATATGTGCATTTTTTCCTCATGAAACTTTAGATGTATGACAATTTTTCTATAGGAAATGCTCAGCAATGGTTTCCAGGATGTTCCCTGGCTGAACTCTGCTGTCTTTATCTTCCTTTCAGGATGGTTCTCTTGGTAACATAGATGACCTCGCCCAGGAGTACTCCGAGTACTACAACACCTGCTTCAGTGACGTCAGCGACCGCATGGAGGAGCTTCGCAAACGCCAAGTCTCCCAGGAGCTCGACATGGTAAAATAGATGGTTTTAAACGCACCTAAGAACCTAGAGCCCCGCTAGAACGAAAGCTAACTCATCCTTTCTCGCCGGCTGCCTGGGGGGTGGTCATTTTTAAATCGAGAACAAAAACTCCGGGTACTTGCTGCACTCTTAGTCCCCCAAAAAACGTACAATAAATAACGGGGGAGTCCTAAGATGTAAAAAAAATCTCTAAAGACATTGTGTAGATGTGAATGCTGGGGTGTTCTGGTGCTCTGTTAAAGAGATTGTGGGGGTTCCTTTTCACAAGGATGTAGGGTAGTGGGGCAACCCTTTGGTTGCCAAGCTGCAGGCAAACGCATGAAGGAATTCTGCTGGTACTGCTGGGGAGGTCCAAGTTTTCAGCAGCAATCCAGTACACACTTAGAAAACAAAATAGTGTTTTTTTTTTTTCAAGGAATTCAATAATGATGAACCTATATTATAATTAGGGATGGGTACCTTTGACATTTSAATCAATTCGGTACCAATATCCGGTAACCTGAAACCTACAAATTATACAAATAGCCTCAAATTTCTACAGATTATTAGACAGAAGTATGTGATCTTCAAAAGAATTACAGTAGTTCATTATAAACCAGATTATAATTATTTAACATTCTTATCTTTTTTGCACAGTAAGTACACCAAAGTACACCAATTGAAAATGTCATCAGTTCAGCTGGCAGCTSTCCCTGTAAAAGAAAACAAAAGCTTGAGCAGTGAAGTGAGCAGCAAACAGGCCTCTTAAAAACCCAGTATTCTTTCAGGCTCTTTCACCTTGTAATCCTTCAGGGTTTTATTTCTTCAAGGCTTAAATGTTACAGAATTCTCACTCTGAGTTTTCGACGCTCAGTAAAATCACATGGAAGACCTGCTGTTGCCAGATCTTATTAGCAGTGGTGCAATCACGCACCAGGTGGTCTTTACGGTGTGTTCCCTGGTTGGAAAATCTTAACATTTTAAAGGCCAGAATGGTTAGCTATTGTCAAGTTGGCACAGCTTCAAATTGGTTAATTTCAGTAACTATTTTTATTTGTGCTTCCGTCTTTCTGTATGCTGTCATTTTTCTCTCACTTGCAAGAAGGTAAAATATAGATTAAAAAAAATCTAATTAAAATTATTTAGCTAGCATTTTTTTTGTTTACTTACAGGTAGCCTAAAAAGTTATTTAACTAGGTCCACCTTAAATGGTCACAATAGTGTTAAATATCCAATTTGAGAAAAAAAAAGATGGACCATTTTCCTGATTTTGGAGTATAAAATGATTTAGAACAACTGTTTTTCAATAACCGGCCTAAAAATATCCATCAGCATATTTTCTTAATTGATAACCATTTAAAGGGATCCCTGATTAGTTGTAACATTAGACTTT